GGGGGGGGCGCAGGACGGGTAGAAGAGGGGAAGGTGAGGGTAGTTCATTGATGGACTGTTGGTTGTAGTGACAGGTTTTCTCCGCTGTAACTCCTCCTTTCTTGTCCTCTTCTAACTAACTCTCTCCCACAATATTGAGAGCTCACACTTGAAATATCCAAATATTTTATCTTTGTCTTCATGCAGGGCAGAACCCTTTGGCCTCAAACCTGTTTTAAATCGAATAGATAAGCCAGGTGAGTAGGTGGTTTACAGATATCGCAGGTAAAGTTGTTGAGGAATTGCACAGACTTCCTGGGTGATCAAAAGTGTTAAGAAACCTCTTGTACATCTTCAGAGTAGAGATGGGTATATTTTACAAACACATCAAAAGGTTGAAATCAGATTATTAATGTTTCTTGGACCACTGGGAGGAAGAGATGTTTGAAGCTCATGTTTAATATAATTTCCGACATCTGAATGAAAAGAAGTATGTGAGTGGAGATTGTTTTCTAGAACTCAGAAGAGAACGGCACAGCATTTCCAGGGGAAAAACGTGACTGAAGCATATCAGTTTTCTTTTATATGTTTAGTGACTGTTCTAATAAGGATATGTATAAAGTTAAGAAACCAATTTGAAACCTGGAGGTCAACATAGGTCAACAGTATGAAACCTCTTCAACTTTTAACATAAAGTTTATCTCTTTCATCTAATTTCTAGATACGGCATTGCCATAAACCTTCGGCCCATATTTAAATGGGAAGGCAGCTGGCCTGGATATCTGGAACTTTTTAGGCTCCTATTACTGAATCTCTTGTCACTGGACATAAGGAATACTCTGGTGGCTCTAGAACTAGTCAGTTCCACAGAATAACCACACAGCAGACATGTTTGCGAAACTGAAGAAGAAAATTGCAGAAGAGACTGCTGTTTCTCAGAGACCAGGAGGAGCGACTAGGCTCCCCAGGACAGTGAGCAAGGAATCCGTTGCCTCCATGGGAGCAGACTCAGGAGATGACTTTGTAAGTATCTTTCCTTAGTTTTGAGTATTTGGTGCCATGCCAATATGTGTTTTAAGTAATATTAGGAATGCTTTTCAGATGTACTTTACAAAAACTCTGTGATTCTTTCATAACTTGTGTGGTTTGTGCCTATGCAAGACCTGTCACATCTGATGCTGCTTACTCAACGCTGCTTTTCTCTTTCCTCAGAGTTCTGACTCCCTTTCCCTCGTCACTACCTTGCCCTTCTGTAGTCTTTTCCCATTCAGATGTCTTGTGCATCTTCTTTTCGTCTCTCAAAATTCTTGGGCTTGTTTTTTATTCCTCACAGACTTTAGGTCATTGTTGCTTAACAAGGCCTATGAGTTGTGGTGTAGGGTTAGTCAGAGTACAAAGTTTAGTGGGAAAGTTAATGAAACATGATCAAAGCTGCTCCTCATGGCAGTAGCAAGTCCCTTCCTAAGTCGCTTGGTGATTGTAAAGATTTCAGAAACCACAGATACTGCCGTGATAGGAAAATGTCTTTAGTAAGTGATAGGATCCTCTTAAGTAAGATGGTCTTTTAAAAACTGATGCAATGCTTATTTTTAAATGAATGTATATAATGTATCTGTAAAGGATGAAGCATAACAATATTATCTGATATTATTTTTGAATTTTATATAAAAATGATCTCCCATAGGTGGTCCTCTTGGACTTTTTTTTTTTTTAACCTTAACCTGTTTCTAACATGAAGCTGTGGTTCTTTTGTTGTTGTTGTTATTCATTTATTTTTATGGCTGTAAAAATTCCCGCATTAAAAAAAACCCAAATTTCTCTCTCCTCCTGGTGGTAGACCTCTGAGTTGTTTCCATAGTCAGATGAATCTTCCTCCTCCTTTCTTCTACCTCCTGAAACGCAGGTCATATTATGTGGCAGAAGCTCTTAGGTTATTGGGGTGGAGCAATAGATTACCAGATCTAAATTATCATTGGCTCCCACATTTAACAGGAAATGTAAGTGCACATTTGGATGCCAGGCTAAATGGCACAATTTTAATGCTGAGTTCTGCAGCAGAAGGAACTGCCTTGTGTTCACACTGACATGCTAAAGGAAATTTCTCATCTAGAATGTATTCCAGATACAGAGATCAGCCTGAATTCAGGTCTGCGTGACTTCTAACCCAATCTATTAGAACTTTCTTTATGAACAGTCCAGCCCTCAGTTTTTATGTCCAGATCAAACTGCGTATCTAGTTCTCCACCCAGATTCCTTTCTCTTGGTATCTCAAATTGTAAAAGTGCAAAACTGAATTCATTAACTCCATCTCTAGTTCACAGGATGTGAATCTGCACTGGGTGCCTTATGCCCTCCAAGTCACCAGCTAGAAACTTTGATGATGTTTTAGATTCTTCCTTCATTTATTTCTAGGTCTTCAATCAGCAGGTCGTATTTTGGATCCCATCGGAATTTCTGTCTCTCAAATTTGCCCTCTCCCCTCTCTCTACTAGTAGTACTTGCACTAGTGCTGCCGTTGTAGTTCAAGCTGTCTGTCTCTCTTGGACAGGTTGCCTCCAGTAGCTCCCTAAAATGATCTTTCTAAAACACCGGATCTGCTCAGGCCTCTCTTACACCCCTCATGGCTTCTCTACCATCTTCAGGACGAAGCGTAAACACACTCTGATAGTGTAATGGTCAACTCCTGTGGGCGCCTACAGCTTACCTTTTCAGCTTCACCTCGCTCCGCTTTCCGCTTTCCCTCAACTGGAATACATTCCTTCTTGCCCACATATGCCTGCCTGTGTTGTTTCCACTCTGAGATGTTTCTGTCTCCCTTCCTCTTTCCCCCTGTAGTCTTCAGACAGGCTCTTGGGTATCCTTCAAGGCTCAGTTCCCATTCGAGTTCCAAGAAATCCCCCTGACCCAACCTGCCCCTCTCACACACCCCAACTCCTTACTTCTCCTGGTTGAGTTTGGTGCCTTGTCATTTACATACCTCAATCCTAACACTTTATAGTTTGAACTAAGGTCAAGTTATGGAGTCAGACCTGGGTTTGATTCCTGGCTTCATCCGTATTGTGTAACTGGTTGATTTCCTTCTTTTCTGTGCCTTAGTTTCCACATTTTTAAATCTTGAGATCCTCAAGATCACCTCCAGAAGCAGTGATTCTGCAGAAGAACCCATGGGACTCAGCATCTAGTGGTGCTCATGACTATAATTTCTGAAAGGGTTTATTCAAGGGAAAAGACAGGTCAAAGTCAGAAGGAAATCTGATGAGCACTTCAAAGAGCCTTCTCCCAGTGGAGTTACACAAAACCCGAAAAACAAGCCCACTGCCACCTCGTCAATTCTGACTCAGAGTTACCCTTTGAGAGAGCAGAATTGCCCCCTGGGGTTTTCTTTTTCTTTCTTTTTTTTTTATTTGAGGGGTTTATCTGTCCTGGATTCTGTGTGTTGAGAGCTCTTATCTGTACCGGTGTACATGCTCTGGTCTAGCCAGATTTGTAAAGTAAAACTGGGGTCATGATAGTGGGTGGGGGTAGGGTGGGGAGAGGAAGCATTAAAGAACTAGAGGGATGTTATATGTTTCATCCCGGCTATACTTCATCCTGGCTGGTTCATCCTTTCCTTGTGATCCTTCTGTGAGGGGATGTACAATTGTCTACAGATGGCCTTTGGGTCTCGTTCACATCAAAATGGTTGTTTGTTTTGGGTCTTCTGGTGCCTGATCCCTGATCCCTGATCCTGTCAACAACTCGTGATCACACGGATTGGTGTGATTCTTCCATGTGGGCTTTGTTGCTTCCCTGCTAGATGGCTGCTTGTTTAACTTCAAGCTTATAAGACCCCAGACACTCTGTCTTCTAATAGCACCATCAGCTTCCTTCACCATGTTAGCTTATGCACCCATTTTGTCTTCAGAAATTGTGTCGGGAAGGTGAGCATCACAGAATGCCAGGTTATTAGTGTTCTTGCATTGAGGAATAGCTTGAGTAGAGGCCCAATGTCCATCTCCTACCTTAATCCTTAACTTATACATATATGTATATAGACCTATATCCCTTTCATTATATAAATATATTTATATATGTACATGCCTATGTTTATACTTCTATAAATGTCTTTTGCCTCCTAGTTCTTTCCTCAACTTCCTTTCCTCCTGTCCCGGTATCATGTTCGACCTTCATTTGGCTCTCTGTACTTCCTCTTGGCTACATTCCACTTAATCGAATCCCACCAGACATTCTATGCCCTCCTTGTCATCAATTTTAGATCTCTTGTTGCCCCCTAGGGTTTTCAAGGATGTAAATCTTTTTAGAAGCATAGAGGTTGAGGGCCTCAAATCACTGCCCTTTCGCACCCTCAAGTCTCCTTGAAGTCACACAAGGATGTACTTGATTCACCCTGCAACGAGCTGCAGTAACACCTCTGAAGAGCCTCCCAGACACCCATTAGATATTCGCCAAGGCTTTTATTGGGGCTGATTGTGTAGGCACCCTCTGCCTGACACACCAAAGGCCAGACTCAGAAGGAAAGCAGGTCTTCAGCATAAACCAAACTATTTGTTGAAATAGGCATAATGAGCCCATTAGGAGGGGAGGACATGGTAGAAACCCTTCTAAAACCCTAAGTTCCCAGATGCCTGCCAAGGACCAACTTTACAAGCAGGGCTTTCCAAGGACAGCAGTCTTAGGCCCAACTCATAGTAGATTTTTTATAATTAGTAGTTTAATTGCTGCTACTGCTGTGTTAGGCCAGAGCTCTTTGTTACACCACCTTTCCCAGGGCTTAGGACACTACTGAGATAGGAGTAGACTTCCAAAGATTCATGGAAAAATGGAATGAGAAGGTAATCCAATTTTTCCACAGTCTTTTTGAGACCCCCCTGGAATAGGATAATAAGAATAATCATAACATTAATAATCATAACATTTTCTTATACTGCTAATAGTAGGTGACATTTATTAAAACAAATTGCATACTAGGCTCTGTTTTGTACATTTGACAAGTATTGACTTTAGTTAAACCCCATTACAGCTCTGAAAGGTAGATACAACTTGTAATCGCAGTTTACATATAAGGAAATCAACTCACAGCCAAGTTGAATCATTTACTGGAGGCCCAACAGCTGATAAGTGATGAAGCTGGCATTTTAATTCAGGTCTTCTGACTCCAAAGACTCTCCTCTTGACTTTACGCTGTACTGCCTCTCAGTAAATGTAGGGTGGGCAAGTGGGTGAATCAATATTTGAATCAAAATACTCAACTACCTTAAAAGCATTTGGGACATATAATCTAGAAATGTGATTAAACACTGAATATTAGGTAACAATTTTCACTTTCTTTAAGTGTGATAATGATGTTGTAGTTGTAAAGGAAAATGTTTTTATTTTTCAAATGTTTATCCAGGAATTTAGGATGAGATGTCATGATGTCTGTTACTTATAGTACTTCAGCAAAATAAAAATGGATAAAGCAAATATAGGAAAAGGTTAGCAATTATTAATATAAGATGCAGAATGTTCACTGAACTATTTTATCTACTTTTCCATTTATTTGAAAACTTTTATAATTGATCAAGGATTCATGAGGGGGGAGGGGAGGAGGTAAAAGGCACTGATACTAAGAGCTCAAGTAGAAAGAAAATGTTTTGGAAATGCTGATGGCAATATTAAGTGTGCTTAATACAATTGAATGATGGATTGTCATAAGATTTGTAAGAGCCCCTCAATAAAATGATAAAAAAGTAAATTTTTATAAAAAAAGGTAAAAAAGATAAATATGGGTAATATTTATTATCAACAATAAACTTTGCCCGTAAGTTTGAAGATCATCCGGATTGTTTGGGGAAATTGGTGTTTCATTAATATGTTGATTTATTGAAAGTATATTATATAGAGAGTTGCTATTAATCAGTATTGACTTGATAGTGGCAAATGAGATAATAGTCACTGTCGTCTTTGTGCCTTAGAGCTTTAAATGGCCACCTGCTTCCTTGCAGAGGAGGATAGTGAAACCCAGTGATTTTCCAGTGTCAGTGAGACACAGCCTCTGATCCCGTGCTACTTCCTTAAAAAGCCTTTCTTGAACTCTTATCTTGGGGCCTTCTTTTTGGAAAAATAAAGTGATTTTTGCTTTTATCATTATAAATATATATTGTTTATTTAGTACAGTGTCATCATGACTTTATTTTGATTTCTTTACCACTGACAGAAAGAGTAGGAGAAAAATGAAACTTTCTATTCCTGTAAAGAGTACAGTCTCAGAAACTCACAGGGGCAATTCTACCCTGTCCAGATAGCATCTCTGTGCGTCGGCATTGATGCAATGGTAGTGAGTTTGGTTTGGGGATTTTGGATAGAAAGAGGGAGAGAGAGTAATTGATCGGCGTAGCATTCTTATAGTTCCTTTACATTACAGAGGGAGATGAGTTGCCCTCATTTTACAGGGAGAGAAACTAGACCCAAATCATTAAGAAGCTTTTGAGTGGTCACAGTTAGTTTAAATATAACCAAACCAAAAAGTAGGAGTTTTCTGCCTTCCTGGTTCAGTGCTTTTGTCTCCCACGGATACAAATCCAAGTGTATAAATCCAACCCCTCCTTATGTCTGTCTCAACAGGCTTCCGATGGAAGTAGCTCCAGAGAAGATCTTTCATCCCAGCTTTTAAGAAGAAATGAGCAGATACGGAAGTTAGAGGCCAGACTTTCTGGTATGTCTAAGAATGCATAAGAAATGAGCAATGAGCAACTTGCCTGGCTCTCTCTCCCTCTGAAATAGCCAGGGGATACCCTTATGGTTATGATGATCTAGCAAATGGAGCAATTTGCCCTCATTCCCTCTTACTCTTTTAGTGTACTCCATAAATATAACTTCAAAACTGAGCTTGAGAATTAAAAGCAAAAATACTTAGGTTTTCCTGCTCCTGAGTCTTCTAGCCCTGGATGCAAGAGGTGTTCAAAAGTGTATGTAGAATAGATTTGACCATCTTTCACCCATTAGCATAGCTTGATTTCCTATGGAGGAGGGTAGTAAAGGGTATTATTTCTAGGTAGTGGCACACAGCTGTGTTCATCAGCTTTAGTGTGGGTTTGGAGCTGTGTTGCCACTTGCAATAGCTTCAGATCACCTGGGAAAGTGTCCTGGGTCTTTGGGCAACTCTTCACTGGTATAAGGGAACTTCAACACGTTTGTGGAAAAATGAAAGTAAAAGATAAAAAATAGAAGCTTTTTTGTCTCAGCATATGCTCTATCAAATCAAGACACTTTTGTAAGTGTTAATACTAGCCATTTAGCCCCTCCCTAGAGAAATGAAGGTCCTAGAAATTGAACCATGTCAATGCAGCCTTTTTTGTATTTGTATTAGTAACTGAAGAAAAATGGGTACCCTTTACAGGGTTTTAAGAGTAGGGGGGTGGGGATTAAGAAATAAGTCAAAAGGAAGGAGCCAAATTAGGACTAAAAGATGGAGGGAGCTAATGATTTCCCATTAAAAAAACTCTCAAAATTGCTCTTGTCTGACGGGAGGAATGAGCAGGAGAGGACCATGGTTATGGTCGAAAAGGAATGTTGAAGCTTTCCTAGGCTTTTGGCTGCTTAAGTGCTGGCTTACTTTCTCAAAACACTATAGTAAACAGGTGTTGTTCTTTGTCCCTGTAGAGAGTCAACAAGCAAACTGCCTTGAGCATCCCCCAAAACTCTTGCCCTGACCTTTGCTCTTGGCCGGTTTGCTTTTGCTTTGACTGGACCACTTCCACCTCTTGGTACCTATTGCCTCCATTGTGCTTTGATCTCCTGTTAGGATTCTTCAAATAAATGCCTCAGGCTCTCGATCCTACTTGTTTAAAATTTCCATTGAAAGCTCTGCTCTTGGCTGATCTATGTCCAACAGTTTGGGCACCCATGGAGCAGAAAGTTTGCTCAACTTTAAATTTTCAGTCAGAATTGTATAAACTAATCCCGTTGACACGTCAGCCTGTGGTGTTGGCCATTGTTTTTGCTATTAATCATCACGCCTCTTCAATTTGTACATGAATGTGAGATTGTTGCTCAGAAACTGATGTGGACATTCTACACTGCAGACTTTATCTCAAAACATGTTTTACATTATACATTTGTAAACTGCTGATTTCTTTGGGGCAATTGTTCCCTTGTACTTTTTACAAAGCATCAGTGATTTAACCGTTGTTCTACCCAGGCTTTACCATCAATATGATGATTGTTCTTGTTTCAATTTTAGAAGAATTTATGTTACTCTTTTCAAACTGATGTCTTGTCCTTCTTAAGTGGCTCAAATTAGATCCTACGCAGACACAGTATAGCAGTTTCCAAAACCAGACCAAACTTACTATCATCAATTCAGTTCTGACCCAGAGTGATCCCATGGGGCAAGGTAAAAGTGCCCCTGTGGGTTTCTGAGACTAGCTCTCTGCAGGAGGAGAAACCTCATCCTTCTCCTGTGGAGCAGCTGATAGTGCAAACAGCCAATACTGTGGTTATGCCCAATGCGTAACCCACCACACCACCAGGACTCCTGTGTTGTAGCTGTTAGTTGGCCATTGAGTCAGTTCCAACCCATAGCAACCCTGTGCCTAATAGAACAAAACACTGCCTGATCCTGCACCATCCTCACAGCTTTTCTTATGCTTGAGCCCACTGTTGCAACCAATGTGTCAATCCGGCTCCTTTACCAAGCCCTCTACTTTACCAAGCATGGTATCCTTCTGCAGGGACTGGTCTCCCCTGGCAGCATGTCCAAAGTATGTGAGGGCTCCTATAGCAAATTGTTAACTCCAGCTCACTGCCTTCAAGTCGATCCCAACTTACAGCGACTCCATAGGACAGAGTCAAACTGCCCCCTGGCTTTCCTTGTATGTTTATGCTGCCCAGAAGCACCTGGTGGATTTGAACTGCTGGCCCTATGGTTCACAGCCAATTATACCACCAAGGCTCCTATAGCAAGTTACTATAAGTTTATTTTGATGCAAAAAAATTATTTTAGATCTCTGCCTAGATTTTTAATAATACGAGTTTTCTATGAACTTTTCTAAGACCTTTCAAATTTCTAATTTTCATACCTATATAAAAATTATAACTCTCATTACATCTTTGTGTGCAAAAATTTACACTTTCCACAATTTACATTATAGCCTTTGCCTGAGTAGAGGATGAGCTTACTAGAGTTGTAAATTCTTATTTTGGTTACATTTTGAACGCTGCTCCTGTGAAGTGCTCCATACCTTTGTGTGTCTTTTTGTTCCCTTGCCTAATGCCCATTGCAATGAAAGCAGTACATCACAAAATGCAGCGAATTGTATATGAAGTATCTATGTTTGTGCAACTTATAAGAGCTCTGTAATGTAGCTCACAGCTTCCAGTTAATCCATCCGTTTACTTCATTCTTCTCAGGCTTAGCAAGAATAAGGTCACACAGGCAGTAAGTGGTAGAGCTAGAATCCAAATTTCCAATTTGTCTGATACTAGAGTTCATACTCTTTACTTTAAATTTGTCACTAGCATGTGACCCTTACCAATAATGAATTTAATAAGTCAAATAACATTAAAGTTGTTTAATTTGGGGAGGGAGATCTATAAAACAATTATTACCTTCGCTAATAGAGCTGGAAGAATAGTTTGGGCTTGACTTATGTTAAAGAAGGCATAGAAAAGAGAACTGAAGTTTATTTAGCCCTTTTATGCCCTGGTTATTGTCCTAGAAACTTGGTATGAATAACAGAAACAATGGCAGTTAACCATTTATTGAACACTATCCAGGTGCTTAAGACATGTGAACACTCTGGTATCATCTAATGCGTCCTTTGAGGTAGGTACAATATCATCATTTGATATATGATGAAACCAATACTTAGGATCAGGAATTTGTTTAAGGTCGGTCCTCCTGCTAAGGTCTAACAGAGTTGAGATTTTCACAAGTCTGCTTTTCCACTAGAGCACACTGGCTCCTCTGGCCACCATGATTAATTCTGACGCTCACCTTTCCTGTGGCGTAGGTATCTCAGTTCTCAGTTCCTGGGTAGAAAGGAAGCCGACTTTTCTAGAGAATTAAATGCTTTCACAAGAAAGACAATCTAAGTGTTAGGTTATTGCCATTGCCTACTGTTAGTCATAGGGACAAAGAACAGCTATCTAGGTAGCTCTCTTTAATCTGCCCTACTGTGGAAGCTGAAGGGAATGTGGGAAAGTGGGATTTGAAGTGCACTAGAGAGATGGCAGTGTGTTCTTCATAGCAGGCATGTCTGATGACCAGACCAGGCTGAAGGAGTCTGTTTGTATTCACCATGTACACTGTGACAAGTTTGTATATACTTGTACATGTTTGCCTGTGTTGCTTGTTGTTAATGAGAGACTGTCTGCCCAGCTTTCCGTAACAGGAGTGGTTTTCAGGTTGAGAAAAATCATCATCATTTTTTCACTCATTTTTTTGTTGTTGTTTAATTAACTTCTTTTCCTGATGTTTGTCCATTCTTGGTGCGTGCATCACCCTCCTCACCCAAGACTATGCTGAGCAGGTCCGAAATCATCAGAAGATAAAAGAGAAGCTTGAAATTGCATTAGAAAAACACCAGGATTGTACGTATTTTTTTTCCTGGCTTTTTCACTCTTTTCCAGGATTTTTTTTTATATGAAACAATAGTGTATATATGTTTGTCCTTCATCAGAGTTCAAATTTTCATTTTATAGATAGTGTGCTATTTAAACAGTTTGACATACAATATTTGTCTGATATTATAAGTACACAATATTTGTGTGTGTTGCCTTATAAGCGTGCTTCTTAAGAGGCTTTCTCCACCCAGTTGACCAGCTTATTGGCTGCCCTGAGCCTTTAGTGAAATACAGTGTCTGGCTCTGGAGCCTGCATGGAGGAGGAGACTTGTGTCTCACCTTCGCTTCAGTACTGCTGGGCCCAGTAACTGGGCAGAGCCTCCGGCTGTCCTCACTCCCCTAGTAAGAGAACGTACAATTTATGTGGTCAGCCTTCAATTCCAGGTTTTCTTTGGGTTTAATCCAGGAAAGATGTTAATGAAAGTGGAAAGCTATTAGTTATTGATATATTATATATTAAACACTTTTTTAAAGGAAAACAGTGAAAGAAAGGTTTCTTTGTTTTGTTTTCATTCTGATAAAAGTGCCCATAGGCATCACTTAGCAACAGCGTTGATGCTGTCTGGCAAACTGCCTCAGAATTCTATTGTTACACTGCCTACAAAGTTATGTTTGGGATCTTCCTAAAGTGTGTACTCTTGACGATTAGAAATATTAAAAATAAAGCCTGTTGGAAACACCCAGTAAAGAACACTGTGGTCCATTACTAAGCCCGGAAACTTCTTCTGGGAAAAACTAGGGTAGATCAGGCTTTCCCTGTCTCTGAATGAACTTAATATAGGAGATAGTTGTGAAGTAATCACATAGAAAAATGTCAAGCTGTTTCTGGAATATTTCCATGTCTCAAATAGAGCTTTTTTGTTGACAGTTTCCATGCGGAAATTTCAAGAGCAGAATGAGACATTCCAAGCCAACAGAGCCAAAATGGCAGAAGGGCTGACTTTGGCATTAGCCAGAAAGGACCAGGTATTTTCATATGTGGGCACTTCCCAAGACTGGTGGGTAGACTTCACGTAGTGACATGATTTCAAAAACCATAAACCTGGTAGAAAATGTGCACAACCTAGGAGGAAAAGGGTGATCAGTCCTGCACGGTTTTGTGTGGCCTTACTGTTGGAAATCATCGCGCAGCTTTACAGTTTTCGCTGTGAAATGTGACCCCAAAGACAAGAGCGACTGCAATTTTATAAAGTAGAGGTGGCAAGTAGTCCATTTGTAGTCTGATGCAGGTCCCCACATAAGGAGCGAGGTCTCTGCTCTCTAAAACCTGTCTCAAAGCTAGGCCCTCAACCATGTGCCTGCTGTAATGGAGAAGAAAATATCATCTTGTACCATGTCCACTTCTTATACCCTCTCTTCCCAAATGTCCTTCACCTTTAGACAGTTAGACGGGAATGCCTTTTAGTGAAAGTCCCAACAGAATCATCCACTGAAAGATACTAAATGGAAAGAAAAACAACAACAACAAAGGCAGACGTGTGTTCCCTAGACGGGTTCCTGTCCTGGTCCCAGTCCCGCCGACGCGACGTCTGCTGTAGGAGGAAGAAGAGGTGTTGGACCCACTAGCCCGTTGCCGCTATACTTTGCCACCTTATCTCAGCTCAGAATGAACTGTATGCCCAGCACCGCTTGCCTCCTCAAAGACATCGACAATGAGTAGCTCATCTCCTCCCGATGATGTCTGGATTGAGACCATTCCTCCCGGAAGGAGCTTGTAGAGTGAATCACAGCAGGGCACTGTTTTGTTGTTGTTGTTGTTTTTAAATGCCGTTCTAGGTTTTCCGAATTGCCATTCTCTACAACAAGGTACAACATCGCATGACAACCCATTCACCTTACTCCAGTGTCCTGTCCCCCACAACTTCCTCCGTTTCCATGGTTGTGAAATTAATCCTGCTTCTGAAGAACTGGGCAGCCGAGGTCCAAACACAGAAGTGCCCCAACAGACAACTACATTGGACCTGCAATAAACCACAACAGTTCGATTTAATTGACCATTAAGCCGAGGTTTTATTCTGAAAAAAAAAAAGAGAGAGATGCTAAATGAATGATAAAGTGGAAAATTATAGTGATACTGGAAATTACAATAATTATGACATATGACATATTTTGTTCAAGATAGTAACATTTTCAATGTAAGCATCAGCATGTACTTACAATTATAATTTAATGGTCAAAATTTATTATGTTATATACTATTAAAATATATATATTTCTTTCATCTTTAATAGGTGGGATGATTGCCTTGTTGGTTTAAAATACATATTAGTCATCTAGGATATTTGTTTACCAGGAAAAAAACTCATTTCACTATGTGGATAACCACAGCATGATTATATATAAATGAAGCAGATAATCTAAAATCAGTGCATCTTGGTTGCACACAATTGGTATATGGACTTTTCCCTACTTTTCTATGGTTTGTGAATACCAGGTTACTCATTTCAGATTACATGTTGATAAAAATCAAGGGGGAGAAGAAAAGAATCATCAGGGATTGCTGAAATACCCGCCCCCCCACCCCCCCCACACACACACGCACACTTTCAGTCAATTAATTTCTCAACAGTTGCGAGGGTTACCCAACTCAGCTGATCACAGATACCCCTCCCAAGACATAATAAATGGTAATCATTGGAAATCACTTAGTAATAACAATCTGAAGATGATACAGCTTTTTAGAGAGTGTTTAGTAAAAATTTACAGACTTATGCTGTGCCCTGGAATTTTGTGTAAAGTTTATTTTGTTCCTTTTAGGGCTTTTTAGTTTCTTAATATTAAGCCAACATCCTAATTCGTTTATTTGTGGTTTGGTTGATTGGCTGGTTGGTTGCTTGCTTGTTGCCTTTTAGGGGGGAAGTTGGGATTTTGTCTTATTTTCTGAAAATCTTAATATCACTGATGTCTTCTTTAGAAATTGTACTTGTTTTTTTTTTGTTGTTGTTGCTGTTTTGTTTCAGGAATGGTCAGAAAAGGTGGATCAGCTTGAAAAGGTGAGTTCATCTTTATTTTTCAGCTTGGGCCTTGGGAAATGTTTTATTCAGTAGCCAGTGTCCTGGTGCTACACTCTTAATCCCACCCCATCTCCACATTCCCCCCACAGACACTGACTGAAAACCTCAAGCCCTTCCATTTTTGGTGGGTCTGCCCCTTCTGATGTGTCCTGCACCCCTCTTTTCCCTTTCTCTGTGCTCCTGAAAGCTACTAAGTAGGAAGGACTACTTCAGCAGAGCTCCCTCTGACTTCCTGTTGGGCTCAGCCAGTGTGGAACACCAATAGAATTCTAGGTGAGGAAGAGTGTGGTTAGGATGTTTTTATATATCCCCAGCTTTCTCTATGCAAGAGCCTTTCAGGTTAATTGTACCTCATGACCAGACGGCCCTCTTTGCCCCCACCCCCATCATTTTATTGGGGGCTCATACGACTCTTAATCACAATCCATACATCCATCCATTGTGTCCAGCACATTTTTACATTTTTTGCCATCATCCTCAAAAAATTTGCTTTCTACTTGAGCCCTTGGTATAGTTCCTCATTTTCTCCTCCCTCCTCAACCCCCCTCCCTCACAAACCCTTGATAACTTATAAATTATGATTATTTTGTCATGTTTTACATTGTCAAACGTCTCCCTTCACCCACTTTTCTGTTTGGATAGCCCTCAACAGAATTTTTGTCCCTTTCATGCCCAACCTTACTAACACATCACTTTTTTGGTTTTTCTTATCTAGCCCTCAGCTTTGATATGTTCTTTTACTAACCATTCTTCAAAATAGCGCATTTGAGTGTCATCTTTTCCTACTGGGACCTTTACTGATACTGTGGGTAGTTTTCCATTCAGAATACTGTTTGAAGAGGAGTGGGAAGTTGGGTGTTTTTCACAGTTCATCATCAAAGAGATGCGAGAACCTCATAGCTGGAGACAGGCAGAAAATTGATTATTCCAGTACCACAGATTCTGCAATGTTATATAGGTATCTTAAGCAATTTGTTTCTGGTTTTAGGAATAATCAAGAAGATCAGATTTCGAGCCTGTAATTAAAAAAAAAATTGTGGTAGAAGCAAACACTTATTTCTTAGGTTGATATATTCAGTTGTGAAATATATTTACTGTTAATTTTGTTAACTAGAGAAGTTTTATTAACTGAATCTTTCCATAAGACACCACGTTACACTAGTGGTTTTTTTTGTGCTGTAGAAATCTGACCACACTAAAAGATACATTAACAAATTTATTTAAGCAAAGAATTACAGAAAAATCAACCGGTCTCCCAAGGAAACTTGTGCTTTCAAAAAATCCAAGATATACTATGCTAATGATGGTCTTTTAAAGTGTGGTGTGTGAGTAAAATGAAACCTTTCTTGTCATAAGAGAAACACTTTAGAATTGTGATGGTAAAAATTCATATTGTTTTGAGTTTATTGTTTTTAATCTCTTAAAACTGTAGTAGAGCAGATCCATATAGGATGAAATCAAATAAAGCCTAATCTAGTTCACTAAGATCATTTCCTCACCATTTTTTTTCTTTTTCGAAGATGGCTCGGAAGATGTTTTAAGCTGAGAAAGAATAATGAGATGTCTGTGTAGGTCTTTGAAGCCAATTTGGTTTAGGGAAATGTTATTTCCTTATTGTTTTAATGTATTTTCCATGAGGCCTTAGAAACCATAGCAGCACGCTTCCTCGCAAGTGATCATGCAAAGTCATCATTTAGTATCAGTAATATCTAACTTTTGTCCACTTGCAAACTGAAGTTAGGTCAACTTCTAGAGGGTTATTTGGACTTACTTAGTAATTCCTATGATTCAACCAGTGCAGGGTGTCCCTGAGAATAAACATGTAAAATGGTTATTTGAAACTGCCAAATAAACTTAAGAATCTTACACGTTTAAGTAATTTTGGCACTTCTTCCATATGTTCACAACGACCCCTTACAACACTTGAAATATATTTTCTTTTTAAAACATTTTTCTATTGAGATGAAATTCATATAGCACACAATGAGCTCTTTTAAAGTGTACAATTCAGAGTTCTTTAGTATATTCACAATGTTTTACAAACACCAGCTCTCTTTGCTCCATATTCCATAGTTACCTCTCTCTGATCGACCTATTCTGTGTATTTTGTGGACAGTGATACCTTGGAGAGCCGGAATTTGAAGGGACGTGTTTTAGCAAATGTTCCCTCTGACAGATTTCCACCTTCCCTGAGTCTAGATTGCAGTTTGGCTGGAAATGAAGTCACGCACTATGTAACCTTTTGTGTCTGGTTTATTTCCTGAATCTTTTCAAGGTGCTCCAGGTTCTAGCACCTTTAATACTGGTCCCCTGTTTTCCTTTATGGTTGAGTGACATTCCCTTTCTGCATGTGCCGCGTTACGTACTCATTCACCGATGAGCCTTGGGGTGGTTTCTCCCTGTTGCCCGTTACACGCAATGCTGCCATAACCACTCGTCTACAAGTGGGAAATACTTTTAACTCAAAGGAGTTGTAGAGAATTCCTCATTGGTCTATATTACTGTAAAATTTCCCATTATTAATGTATTATTGTTTACTGGTATTATATTTCCTTAAGATTTTCCAGTAGTTAGAAGTCTACTTGGATAATATGGATTTCTAATGTCTTAGTTGCCTGAATTGATGTTAGCCTTCTCCAAACAGGAAAAAAGGTTTCTGACAGCTCAGCTACAAGAAATGCAGAACCAGAGTTTGAATCTTTTCCAAAAGAGAGATGAAATGGATGAGTTAAAGGGCTTCCAGCAGCAGGAACTGAGTAAAGTAAAGCACCTGGTGAGCATGGTTGTTTCAGTAACTCATTGCAGCAAAGAGGATTAGTTACATGTTTTTGTTAGTCATTACTTTTTGATTCCTGGTAAACATACTCCAATAGTCCTTTATACTAATCACATTTTTATGTTTCTAATTTCTTAAAATGGGAAAGTTTGTTTTGAAATCTGTTCTCCTACCTTCTTTTCTTCCTTTTTTAAAAACATAGTTACTAAGCTTATTTGCCCGTATAAGCCCCCAAAAGTGTTATAAAAGTATGGTTTATTGGTCTATATTTTTTAAATTATATTTATCACAGTAACCCAGTGAAATATTACATCTTTGTGTCAGCTTTTGAAAAAAGAAGAAAGTTTGGGGAAAATGGAGCAGGAGTTGGAGGCACAAACCAGAGAACTTAGTCACACCCAAGAGGAGTTGATGATCTCCAATCAGATGTCTTCAGACTTGAGGCAGAAGTTAGAAGAATTGCAGAGACGCTGCTCAGCGCTGGAAGAGCAGAGGTTCTTGCTTGGTCTGTGGGGCCCTTGGGAAGCGGCATTAGTGTAGCTGGGGTATAGCCCACCTGTCTTTCCCTATTGCTCATTCCCATACTTTCTGATTCTAACACTAGCAAAGGCTTCTAGACTGGTTCTCACTTGCCAGGGGTTCAAGGTACCCCCACCCCCTGCACCTCTCTCCCCTTATCCCCTGCTGAGACTTTAACTCCACGCAGAGCTAAATTATGAGCAATTCAGCAGTGGTTTTAATTTGCCAGCTATTGAATAACCAAAGCCATATGAGGATTTCTTGTTTAAACATGGATGGAACTTTTTCTTTGCATTTCTGCTTCTATGAAAGCCAAAGAATGTTCTCCATTGATGATTCACTTGAACTAACAGTGTTTTTGCATTTGTATTTTTCCTGTGGAAGAGTGTTTCTTAGATGTGATATCCAAACTCTTTCATTGTCTACTTTCTTTCAATGAAGAGATCATGTGACCGCTTCAAAAACAGGTGCGGAAAATAAGATCACAGCGTTGGAGCACAAGGAACGTGAGCTCCAAGCGTTTATTCAGCAGCTTTCCACTGACTTGCAAAGGGTAAGGGAAGTACTAAGAGTGGACCTGGATTTCCAGGATTCATGAATTAGGGTCAAAACTAATTCTTTCAGAAGCTTCAGCCTAAGAGTAGCTATTGAAACTTCTGTTTCTCATGCACTCCACATTGCCCCAGTGCCCGGTTTAGCCAGGCTGAACTCAGATAGATACCCTTGCCAAACAAGGGTTACTTAACAGAAGAGGCCACAATACTGTGTCATCTGATTATCGCAAGTTGCTAATGAGTCTGCCTCCAGTTCAAACAGTGTGTTCTTCATATGGTTCAGCTTTTATTTGCTAAGCATACAGATTGAATAAGTATGGTGAAAGGCTATAACCCTGACATACATCTTTCCCGATTTTAAACTAACCTTTGTCATACCTGGCTCTAATCTTACATGTTCTTAACAGGTTTCAATTCAGGACCAGGAGTACTCTGTATACAGTGCTTCGTCCAGGACAGCCTTCTCCCAACCCTTGGTCTCATGGTCTGCCTGGGCACATATTTCAAAGCTCTTTTGGCTTTCAAACCTGTGGTCCCTTGGCCTCTGTCGTGTTTAGGCAAGTGGAGCTCTGCTGTTAAGTGCTTACTCCACCAGCAAGCCTGAGCCTGAGCCAAGTTCTGGCACCCTAGGTCAGAAAACTTAGCTCTTGTTCCTCCATTACGTGCACCCAACTTTGCAAGCAAGTCTCAGCTTTCTTTCTTTCTTTTTTTTTTTTTTTTTTTTTTATTGGGGGCTCGTACAATTCTTACCACAATTCATACATACATCTATTGTGTCAAACACATATGTACATTTGTTGCCCTCATCATTCTCAAAACATTTGTCTTCTACTTTAGCCCTTAACATCAGTTGCTCATTTTCCCCCTCCCTCCCCACTCCCCCCTCCCTCATGAACCCTTCATAATTCATAAATTATTATCATTTTGTCATAAGTTACACTGTCCAACATCTCCCTTCGCCCTCTTCTCTCCTGTCCATCCCCCAGGGAGGAGGCAATACTTAGATTCTTGTCATCGGTTCCCCCTTTCTACCCCACATTCCCTTCACCCTCCAGGCATCGCCCCTCTCACCACTGGTCCTGAGGGAGTCATTTGTCCTGGATTCCCTATGTTTCCAGTTGCTATCTGTACCAATGTACCGCCTGTGGTCTAGCCAGATTTGTAAGGTAGAATTGGGATCATGATCGTGGGGTGGGGGAAGCATTGAAGAACTAGAGGAAAGTTATATGTTTCATCGTTGCTACCCTGCACCCTGATTGGCTCATCTCCTCCCCACAACCCTTCAGTAAGGGGGTGTTCAGTTGCCTAGCAATGAACTTTGAGTCTCCACTCTGCACTCACCCACCTTTACAATGATATGATTTTTTTGTTCTTTGATGCTTGATACCTGATCCCTTCGACAGCTCGTGGTCACACATGCTGGTGTGCTTCTTCCATGTGGGCTTTGCTTCTGAGCTAGTTGGCTGCTTGTTTATCTTTAAGACCCCAGACGCTATATCTTTGATAGCCAGGCACCATCAGCTTTCTTCACCACTTTTGCTTATGCACACGTTTTTCTTCAGTGATCATATCAGGAAGGTGGGAACCCACTGATATGATTTTGCTTCTTTGATGTCTAATAACTGGTCCCTTTTGCACCTTGTGGTCAGATACAAGTCTCAGCTTTCTTGCTACATGGGCCATGAAGCCCACCCCTCTGCCTTGTGGTCTTGCTTCTGCTGTATCTTTGCTGCCACGTCTCCTTGATCAGAGAGCTTCAGGCAGGGATCTTAGGGTTCAGAGCACACATTCTACTCCTACCTGTTTTTTTCCTGGTGGTAGTGAGATTCTCCTGCCAGTCTGAGATAGGGCATTTTAAATCTCATGGGATGTCCCTCCATTAGGGATCCATGTGCCTTGTCTGCATGGTCCCACCCCCAAAGATTCCAGCTACCTTATTTTTATTATTGGCAAGCTATCACATTTGATGAGTCAAAAACAACTCACATTTGCATAGCATCCACGTGGATAGTGGTTATGTGTTGGGCTGCTAATTACAAGGTCAGCAATTCGAAACTACCAACCTCTGCGTGGGAGAAAGACAAGGCTTTCTACCTCCATAAAGAGTTAAAGCCTTGGAAGCCCACGGGCAGTTCTATTCTGTCCTTTTTTCCTTGTTCATAGGACTCGATGGGAGTGAGTGTTTGAGAGACCCAGACATCTGGTGGAAGTTACGAAGACTGTCCAGGAGAGCCATATCTAGTCATGAGCTGTACCACAACGTACGCTACCTTACTCGCTGTCCTATTAGGGTCAGCCCTGTGTCTCCCCACAGGAGTATCTTGAATATTCTTGCCCCATTGCTCTTGACAGAAAAGCTTTACCATTTTTTGTTTGTTTTTTCGTTTCCAAAAAATCAGTTGGATTATTGATTGGACTTGGATTGAAATTTATAAATCCATTTGGGGAACATTGATTGCTTTAAGATGTGAATTTTTTTTAATCCAAGAATGTGGTCTATTTGTTGGCTTTTCTTTTTAATGACTATGAATAAATTTCTGTAATTTTCTCCATGTAGGTTACTTATTATTAAATGTACTCTTAGGTACTTTTATTTTATATCACTTATAATTGTGTCATTTAAAATTTATTTTTCCTGTTTGTTGGCATTTAGAAATGGTGTAATATTTATTGACTGATTTTTAAAAAATAACAAAAACACTAATAATGAATCTGTAGTGCTATTTCTTAATAGCAATCATACCATCTGTAAAAACTGGTAGTTTTCTTTCCAATTCCTTTTTTTCAAAACAGTTTTATTAGCATATAATCCACATATCATACAAAATTAGACTAATCAATAGTTCGGTCACATCAGGAAGAGTTGCACAGTCATTACCATGATCAGTTTTAGAACATTTTCTTTTTTCTTGTACTCATTGTTAATCGCTCCCTTTTTCCAATTCTTATACTTTTTTTTCCTCCTTATTTTACTTGCTGGATAAGATGTCAGGTACAGCATTGACCATAATTTCTGAAGACTGGCAACTTGGCCCAATTCTTCAAAATGTTTTACCAACAGATGTTTCCTATAGATTTTTAGCAGTTGAAGGAAACTTCTTTTACTTATTTAAATCAATTTATGATGTGTAATTTACATACTACAAAATGCACATCTCTGACATTTAATAATGAGGACCTTTAACAAATAATACCCTCATGGAACCACTACTACCACAATCAAGCTACAAAATATTTCCCCCAGCCCCAAAGGTTCTGTAGTGCACCTTCCAGTCAGTCCCCACTCCTAACCCCTCTTAACCCCTAAGCATTTTCCTGTCACTCTAGATTAAATGGAATTTTCTTGAGGTTTCCACCAACTCGTCAGTATACTTTTAAATATATTTTTAAAGTTTTTTCAAACCTTTTTTGTGACTTTGAATAGGAAAGTTAATAAGGTACTTTGGTCTGCCCTACTACTGAGCTTAGAAGTGTATTACTGTTTTGACTCTGTAGAATGTGAGTTGTAATATATTCAAGTTTGCATAGCTAACAGCCCGTAGGTATAGAAGTATGGGATATGGTGGAGAGGCCTGGAGTGTCTCACATTGTACAGTCCACACATGATTATGGTAATTGAAGTAGTACCGTGAATAGGAGCAAAGAGAGGAGGATAGAGAGGCTTAGATTGACTCCTTGAAAACTTCAAAATGTAAACCTCAGGGGGAGGAGGAGGAGTCCACCACCACCACCCCCAAAAAAAAGAATGAATGAGAGTTAGTAAAATAGAGGGTTATAAAATTGTGACTGCTGACTGTAAATCTTGGGTTTAGTAGTTAGCAAGTCTATTGCTTAAATTGAGGAGAGCGTTTGCCTCTTGGTGTGCTTGGTCTGAACTGGATTTCTGAAGATGGCTGGATTCGGATCTTGCTTCTTTCTGTCCCATAGAACACAGCTGAGGACAGAGCCTTAGGGAACTTGATGATCCCAGAGGGGCCAGGAAGAGAAGACTTGTAGTATAATGTACATGCCATGTGGAGTGTATTGGTTCTCCTCTGCTTTCACCAATAGGTCACTGCTGAAGCTCAAGAGAAAGATAAACTCATCACGCATTTGCAGGAGAAGGTCAAGTCCTTGGAGAAGCAGCTGGAACAGAACCTCTCAGGGGAAGAACGTGCACAGGAACTGCTGAAAGAGGTCATTTTCACTCTCTTCATACCACCTGCCGCCCACCAGTGTTGGAAAGACAGTGGTGACACTTTCATGAAGTCCTAGAGCTTTAGATCTGGAGAGCCAGGAAATAGCTTGTTGAACAGAGATCTCTCCCCAACCTCAGATTGTCCTGCTTACAACAAAAATAGCCTCAGGTAACCTGTGAGTACCACTCTTCCGGGAAAGGAGAGCGTAGTTTAGGGATCCGTATGAACAGATAGCATCCTGATCACCAGTAAACCAAAACCACTCACTGACCTCAAGTTGATGCCAACTCCTAGTGACCCAGTGGGGCAGGGTAGAACTGCCTTTGTGGGTTCCCGAGGCTCTAACGATTTACAGGAGCAGAAAGCCTCATCTTTCTCCGGTGGAGTTGCTGTTGGTTTTGAACTGCTGACCTCACAATTAACAGCTTAATACATAATCCACAGTGCTCCTCTACCACTAAACCACACCTGGTGACTTATGCCCCACTCCACCCTGCCTTTTTCACCCTTTATACTCTACTGGCCAACGAAAGCACTTAGTAATCACCCTTTGGCTTGAGCAAGAATTGCGTTGGGCAGCAGACGCTCCTTGGCTGATGCAAGCCGTTGAATAGACTAGCCTTTTGGCAAGTAGTGTACATGAACTTACTTTTTCCTCAATCTGAGCTCTTCTTCCCACGTTACACCATTTCTCCTCCCTGCATTCCAATGATTGGCATCACCATGACATAGGTGACCAAGCAGAAACATCCGAGATTAGACGCTCACTTACTACTTGCACTTCATTTTAGTGAACTGGCACCATCCTATCTGCTACTGCTGTACTGTCACCGCAATGCCAGTTGAGTCTCACAAGAGAGCTTCAGAAAGCTCTTGGAAAAGTGGAATTTACAAATAATAGAAAAGTCCTACAAGCTTTTTTAAATTCCCTCATATTGACCACTTGTCTGTCTGTCAGTTTGTCATTCTGTGGTGGCTTGCACATTGCTGTGACCCTGGAAGCTATGTCACTGGTATTTCAAATACCAGCAGGATCATTCAAAATGAACAGGTTCAGCAGAGCGTGCCGACTAAGAGCAGACTCCGAAGGAGCAGTAGGCGATCCACTTCTGAGGAATTAGCCACTGAAACCCGTGGGACTCGTAGTGACATAGTATCAGAGAGCGGCGAGCTGATGAATAGAAGCAGAGAGTGCTAGAAGTTGAGCCCCTCGGCTCAGAAGGCACTGACACCATGGCCACAATGACGGCTCCAACCGAGCAATGGCAGGGCCAGCTCAGGACCAGGCTGTGTTCCCACCTGTCGTACATAGGGTCCCAGCTCACGGGCACCTCAGCAATAGCGGATGAACAGCTGACCAACAGGACTCTCCTCCACCATCTAGAACAGGTGTCCACATTAATGGCCAAGCTCTTCTTCCTAAACAACATTTCTGACCATATCAATCCTTTAAACATCTTCCCCAAACCCCCTACAGTTTGAACTGAGAATAATGTGAGTCCTAGGGTATAAATTGGTTTCTAGATTACAACTGCCTCGGTTGGTATCTTGCTTATTTTACTTACTAGCTTGTGACTTAGAGCAAGTCATAGAGTCTTTGTGTTTGTTTCCTCGTCTTTAAAGTAGGATCAATAATGGCAAACTTAATTCTAAAATTGTTATGATTAAATAAATTGCAATATATGAAGTGCTAAGAGGTCCTCGGTTAGCATAAACAGTTTGTACTTTGCTGATAACCAAAAAGTTGGCATTTCCAATTAATATGCCATCATCCTCATCTGCTTCTGTAAAGATTAAAGCCAAGAAAATCCCTATTGAGCTGTTCTGCTCTGTAACAAAACTAAAACCAAATCAACAATATGTGAAGTGCTTAAAATGGTGCTAGAATAGGAACTGGAAACACAGGGAATCCAGGGTGGATGATCCCTTCAGGACCAGTGGTGAGAGTGGCGATACTGGGAGCATAGAGGGAGAGTGGGTTGGAAAGGGGGAACCGATTACAAGGAACTATATGTGACCTCCTCCCTGGTGGACGGACAACAGAAAGTGGGTGAAGGGAGACGTGGGACAGGGCAAGATATGACAAAATAATAGTTTATAAATTATCAAGGGTTTATGAGGGAGTAGGGAGCAGGGAGGGAGTGGAAAAAATGAGGAGCTGGTGCCAGGAGCTTAAGTAGAGAGCAAATGTTTTGAGAATGATGAGGGCAATAAATGTACAAATGTGCTTTATACAATTGATGTATGTATGGATTGTGATAAGAGTTATATGAGCCCCTAATAAAACGATTTTTTTTTAAATGGTGGTAGAAACATGGTAAAAAAAATCACTGTATCAACAGTTAATAGGATACTATTGTTGTGCCATCACCATTATTATAACATTGGTTTCAGTGTGTATGAAATTGACTTGGGGAAGTGATTCAAAGCTCCCACCTTGAGAAGTACTACCTACAGATTGAAGTCCACACTCCTTTTGACCACGTAGAGCTCCTCCATAGTGGCCTTCTCCCAAACTCTCCCATCTCAGTGTGTGGCCTAAGTCAGCCATCTCAGTGACTGGTAAGCAGTCCTCGTCCCCTGAAGGCACTTGCTGGTTTGCATTTCCCTTTTCTTGCAACTGCTTACTGTGGCTGGGACACTCCCTCACTAGGTAGCCACCTGGGAATTGCAAAGCCCCCCACTTCCTCTGAGGTAATAATTGGTACCTCCAAAGCTCCACTTTTTTGGACTCCCCCTACCTTTAAAAAAAAAACAAAAGCAAAACTTTTTTGTGAAGTAGGTAAAGGTTTGCAGAGTGTCTTAGGCTTTCTTGGTCTTAGTCTTTTGGTCCAGCATTGGGGCAAAGAACAGTGTCAAGTTTATCTTTGTCTACTGTGCGATACATGAATTGGCTCAATAAATGTTTTTATTTTAAATGCATTTGTGTCTTTTGTACCTAGCACAAATCAGAGTATGTTGTAAATATCACTAAATGCTTATTCATTGCAGAAATGACTGCGTTCTCTGGTTTTGTTCTTCCTCCAACCTACAGAAGACAGCAGCCGAGCACACGTTGGAGAGTACCAGACAGCAGCTTCTGGCAGCCAGGAGCATGCAGGCCCCGGCTGTTGGCATCCTGGAAACTCAGGTAGGGATCCATTCCCTCGGTTCCTGTGTTTGGGTGGTAGCTTAGTGCAGTGGCCTGCCTGTGACTGAGAACTTCGCCGGGTCAGGGCTAGTTTGTGGATTTTAGCATTGAGCTAGTTATTTTCTTCATTTTTGCCATTTCATCATCATCGATCTGTAGGAAACGCTCCACTTGTTCATTTCATCCCTTTGGGCTCCATTTCCTTTGCTCCTATAGATAGCCCTTGTGGTATACAGATCCTTTTAGTGTTGGGAGAGCTTAAAATGGGTGGCGTTGTTTTGTGTACGCATCTGTTTGTAATTAAGTTAATGTAACAGATAGGGTTATGTGTATTTCTCCTCTGTTATTTTCAACTGCTCCATTTTCTATCTGAATCCACCTCATTGTACTTAACCAGAGTGCCAGCACCCTTAACCAGCCATCAGATGGCCTTGGCCTCCCTCCACAGCTGACACTGCTGTGAACGCCCTCATGGCTGCCTCCCTCAGGCATAGAGAGTGCGTGCTACGGAACCTCCATAAGGTAGAGCAAGGTTGGCCCCAAAGGGCTGCCAGGAGCTGTGCTTTCCTTCCTCCATGAGGTTTCTTCTAGCTTCTGCCTTTTCCAGCATTGGCATTCCCCAGCCTTCTAATGTTTGCTGTTTAAGTACCAGGAAGTGATGTGTCACTGTTCAGTTTGCATTATTATAGGGCTGAGCAGTTTGTTGAAAGATTCACAGTGCTCCTCTGCCCTATGGAGTTATTTTGAGTCAGAATTGACTCCATGGGAGCTGGTCTGGGTTTATAGGTATTCATAAGTTTGACCATCTCCTTATATGCTTATTAGCCTTTTGGGCTTCTTTTTTTGAATTGCCTGTGCACATCTTTTTGCTTCTTTTTCTTTGAGAATTTCAATCTTCTCATTTGGTTTGCAGACTTTGTTGACCTGAAAAGAAAGTATTAATTTTTTATTGGGTGGTTTGGATTTTCTTTTTTTAAATCCTTTTCTGGCCCTCACCCCAGAATGCTTGTATACAGTAGCTTTTTCCCTATTCTCCTTTTGCATTTTTTTTTAAAGCTTATCTCAGCACTCATGTTGTACTTGTCCTTTTGTGCTTGACTTACTTCACTTAGCATGATTTCCTCCAGCTCTTCCCATGCAGCGATGTGCTTCATACGTTCATCACTGCTTTTTAGTGATGCGTAGTACTCCATTGTATGTATATACCACAGTTCTTTAATCCATTTGTCAGTTGATGGAAATTTGGGTTGCTTCCAACTACTTGCAATTGTGAACTGAGCCGCAATGAACATTGGAGCACAGATGTCTGGCCTTGGTTTGTTTCTTGCCTCTTCTGGGTAGATATGCCCAGTAGGGGGATGGCTAGTTCGTATGGTAACTTGATTTCCATCTATTTTAGATATCACCAGTTCGATTTCCATAGTGGTCGTACATACTTACAAGTCCACCAGCAGTGGATGAGAGTTCCTGTCTCCCACAGCCCCACAGCTCCTCCAACACTTGTTGCTATCTGATTTTTTGAATTGGGCTACCTTTGAGGGTGTTAGGTGGTACCTCATTGTTGTTTTAATTTGCATTTCTCTTATGGCTAAAGATCGGGAACATTTTCTCATATGTGTGTTGGCCATTCGGATTGCTGCCTCTGTGAAACTTCTGTTCAGGTCCTTTGCCCACCTCTCAAGTGGGCAATTAGTTTTTTTCTTTTTGGAAGCTAGCAGAGTATTGTAGATTTTAGTAATAAGGCCTTTGTCTGATGTGTCATTGCTAAAGATGTTTTCCCAGTCCATGGACTCTCTTATTACTTTCTTGGTGAATTCTTTCCATGTACATAGGTGTTTTATCTTCAGTATATTCCATTTGTCAATTTGTTCCTCCTCTGTGTTTGTGTCCTTCCCTATTTCTAATAGCCTATGTATTCCCTATGTGATCACAAGGTATCGAAGGGATCAGGTATCAGGCATCATCAGAACAAAAATCTTACCATAGTGAATGAGGGGGGCAGTGCAGAGTGGAGACCCAAAGCCCATTTGTAGGCCACTGGAGATCCCCTTGCAGAGGGGTCTCGGGGAGGAGACGAGCCAGTCAGGGTGCAGTGTAGCAATTATGAAAAATACAACTTTCCTCTAGTTCCTAAATGCTTCTTCCCCACCCACCACCCACCACCCAACTATCATGATCCGAATTTTCCTTTGCAAGTCTGGCTAGACCAGAGGATGCACACTGGTACAGATAAGAACTGGAAACACAGGGCATCCAGGGCGCATGATCCCTTCAGGACCAGTGGTGTGAGTGGCGATACTGGGAGTGTTGAGGGAGAGTGGGTTGGAAAGGTGGAACCGATTACAAGGATCTACATGTGACCTCCTCCCTGGTGGACAGACAACAGAAAAGTGGGTGAAGGGAGACGTCAGACAGGGCAAGATATGACAAAATAATAATTTATAAATTATCAAGGGTTCATGGGGGGGAGCGAAGAGGGAGGGGGGAAAAATGAGGACCTGATGCCAGGGGCTTAAGTGGAGAGCAAATGTTTTGAGAATGATGAGGGCAATGAATGTACAAATGTGCTTTACACAATTGATCTATGTATGGATTGTGATAAGAATTGTATGAGCCCCTAAGAAAACGATTAAAAAAAAAACTAAAAATTCTACACACACCCCAAAAAAGTGTTTTGAAAATGATGATGGCAACAAATGTACAAATGTGATTGACACAATGGATGCATGTATATATTGTGATAAAAACTGTATGAGCCCCCAATAAGATGATTTAAAAACAAAGCAAATATTCCTTTTCTGCTCCTAATCACAGAGATAGTCTTTTCTATTTTTTCCTATTAACTTTACAATTTTGTCCTTCACACAATAGGTTGTTAATCCATTTACAGACCACCTTTGTATGTGATGTGAGGTAGGGGCCCAGCTCTTTCTTTCTCTCTGATTCTCAATACGGTCTACCAAGCAACCTTTCCTTTCCGCATTGGGTTCTCACACCACCTTCTTCATGTGGTGAGTTTCCATCTGCACGTGACTTTGTCTCCGCATTTTCCACTATATTCCATTAGTTCTATTTGTCTGATCTTGTACTAATACCACAATATTTTCATAGTAGAGCTTTGCCTGAGCTTTATAACTCAGGATCTGATAGCAGGCAAGTGTTCTCTTTGAAGGGTGACCAAACTATCTGTGGACCTTTTTCCTTTCGCTGAAATCTTTAAAGTTTTTTTATTTCCTAAAAAATTTAGCCTCAATTTTTATTGGGATTTTGTTAAAGTTTAGACTAGTTAAAATGAGTTATTTATTCATAATATAAATGTTTTCCTTCATCTCTTCAGATTTTTTTTGTGTTCTTTATTAGAATTTTACATTTCTCCCCCATAATGGTCTTATTTTATTGGTTAAATTAGAAAAACTTTGTAGCTTGTTTGATATTGTAATGATATTTTCTTTTTCTTTTTTTTTTTCTGGTGTAGAGAATTGCTATATTTATTCATTGAACCAATCTCTAGTCCTAGATTTGTTCTCAGCTACTCCAGTTGCTGTGCAGTTGGTGCCAGCTCATAATGCCCCTGTGGGTGTCTGAATAGAAGTGTGCTCCCTAGGGTTTCCAAGCACTGCTTTTCCAAAATTAGATTGCCAGGACTTTGTTCTACACCAGTCTCAGGTTAACTCAAACTGGCAGCCTGTTGGTTACCAGCCCAGCCCAGCCCAGCCTCAGTTTGCGTGAGATACTGCAACCCTGTTCTAACACTGCATGTATTATTTGTTCTGCCTTAAGCAGATCCTCATATTATCTGTAAATATCGATGGCTTTGTCTTTTCCCTTCCAACTCTCTTACCTGTCATCCTTTTCCTGTCCCACAAGCCTCGGTGAGGACCTCCAGCACACTATTACAGGAACAATCTTGTCTTTAGCACATAGCAAATGTGCTCATTTGGTGTGAAGTTTGCAGTGGTTTGGGTACTTAATCTTTACAGAGTTAAAGAAATTCCCTTCCAGTTTGCTAAGAATTTTTTGTTTCTTAAAGTCATAAATATGTACAACTCTATCTAATGTATGGCTTATATTGATTGGGGAAAAAAATCATTAAACTTCTTCTTTAGTCTATTAGTGTAACAAAATACATTAATAGATTTTCTGAAACAGTCATTGCATTGCCTTTCTGAAATGACTACTACTTGGTGTATTATTTTTGTAGTAAACTTCTAGATTTGGTTAGCTACTTTTATATTAAAATCTTTGTATCTATTGATCACTGGAATAGGTTTCTCTGACTTTAAAGTCATGCTATACTAACTTTGTTCAAAGAGCTGGGCAGCAGTCAGGTCTCCTATTTTACGTAGTAATTTGGGTTAAAATACAATATATTCAAAATTACTACATTATGTAAATTTGGTAGAATTGAACTATAAAACCACTTGGCCCATTTTAGGAGGAAAGAAGTGGATTATTATTTCGAAATTTATTCTTATTATACTATTTAAGTTTTTATTTCTTCACCAATTTGACACTTGTTTTTCTTTTTAAATAACTTACTCCGCCACAAAAAAACATACCTATTTCATCATGGCTTATTAATTTATTAACCTATAATACTCATAAAATGAATGGCATATAACGTATTTGCATATACTACAGTGCTACTTTTGCTTAATTTCTTCTGTTTGTTTGTTTCTATATTTTGTCACTTTGTATATATCATTCCCTTTTTTCTTAATTAGTGGTATAAGAGATCCATCTCAGTCCAACTGTCAGGTTAATGGGACAGAAGACAGACCCGTTTATGTACATATTGTCCACTGCTGATCTCTTGCTACTATGGCACAGTTGACTGGTTGTCAAGGAGACTGGCCTACAAAACCAAAAGTGTTTATTTTGTCCTTTACCTCAGTTTACCAACCGTTGCCCTAGCCTACTAATCCTTTTAAAGAGCTATCTTTTAGGTAAATCTACAGGGACAGTTAACTAGATTAATAGTGTCTTAGGGTGATGGCAGGGAGGGAAATGGAGAGCTAATAATGACGAGTACAAAAATGAAGAAAATGTTCTAAAATTGACTGTGGTGATATGATACGATGCTAATATATTTAAAAACCAAATTATATGCTATGGTAATTATGTCAAAATTATAATGTGTCAATAAAAACAAATAGAGGTTAAGAACTAGGGTAAAAAGAACTAGCTTTTGATTTTGTTACCTGCTCAAATTCTTTTAAATTTATTTGTGCTTTATTATTATTTTTCCTTTCTATTTCTTGAGGTCTGCTCCATTGTTATTTTTTTTAGTTGAATGCTTAGCTTACATTTTGAAAATCTTATTTCCTTATAAAAATGCTTAAAGGTACATTTTCTTTTCACTAAATACTATTTTATTGGTTTCCTATAAATTTTGATATCTAGTTGCTTTCGTTCTAATTCAGTTGTAACTATTTCTTACTATCTTTTCTGATTTATTTTTAATTCAAAGGTTATTTTTCACTAAGTTACTTGATTTCCAAATATAGACTATTTTGAGCCTCTTTTTATGAAAAAGTTCATGTACAAAAAATAAAGAATAATATGAGAACCAGCCATGGACCTACTGCTTGCTATTCTATTAATTCCTTGTTTTATTTGAGTTAGAGAACATGGTGTGAATGACATCCGTTCTTGCTGTCTTTTATGAACTGATGCATGGTCTACTTTTATAGACCGTGCACACAAAAGTAGAAAGTGTATTATGTGTGTCAATATCTGAACTATCTTTCGCTGATTAACTTCATTTTCCATGTGTTCAGTATTAGTGTTTTGTCTGTTTGAGCCACCCATTTGAAGGGTGTATATTTTAAATATCCAACTCTGTTCTTTGCTTTATTCATCTCTAACTGCAGTTTAGTCTCTGACTTGATGTAGAGTGAAACCCAGTAAAAAGCAGTCTGGTAACCAGAGTTTAGGGATACTGTAGCAATTTTCTGTCTTCTCTCCAGTTTTCAGTCTCAGTGGTGAAAGGTCTTTTCTTCTGCACAGCCCAGAGACATGGAGAGGACAGCAAGACTAGCCTGGGTATCTCCAGGCAACTCGACTTCAGGCAGCAGGAGGCGGAGAGTGAGGCTCCACAGCCCTGGATTCCTAATACCAGACACACCTTGGTCTTCTTTTATTGGGCTGAAAAAATGGAATTCATCTAACTGGGAGGATCCCGTGGTGCTGCAAGCCCCAGCCAGCCAAGGCTTGTGGGATTATATAGACAAGAGGACACAGCTGTCCTCCACTGGTACCAAATCCCAACTTGGGACCAGGGTGGAGTTTTTTTTTGTCAGCTCAAGATTCCCAGAATTCCTGCAATTGAGCTACACAAGCCTGCGCTGGCCATGCTGTTAGCCCTGTGGTAGCATAGCCCTCTGTTTGATGTGACTTCAGATGTTTGGACCTCTCTCCTCACCTAATAATGTAGTTTTATTGTTTTTTGAGGCGGTCTATTTTTTAAATATTTGCGCATAATGTTTTTAATCTTTTTGTTCCTTTTACCGATACATAATGTCTCTGTCTCTTGTGGCATTTTATTCGGTTTATAGTTATGGGGTATTTCTTTTCTCATTCTTTCATATTCAGCCTTTTGAAGTTAGTTGTTTCCGTAAGTGTATTCTATTAGCAGGTTGTTGTGTCTTGATTTTTTAAAACCAATCTGAGAATCTTTGTCATATGCATTTACATTGTATTTATTGTAATTACTGTTTTATAGGACTTTCTGCCATTTGATTTCACATTTTCTATTGCAATTTATTGTGCTGTTTGTTTCCATTTCCTCGGATGGACTTTTCTTCTCCTTCAGAAGTTATACATTCTGCTTTATTTTAACGGTGCTTGCCTTTATCCTGAGAGATGCGCCCCTGTATTCATTCATGTGTGTTGACCACTAGGGAGTTCTTAGACCTTTTTAAAACTTGGATGTCACTTCTCTTCTCCCCCCTGGTCAGGGCTAGGATTTCACTTATGATAGGTGACATGCATGGTGCTCATTTGTGGAAATTACTTATTTTGTCCTTTTCTCTCTGTTTTTAATTGACAAGAATAACTTTCATCAGCTATTGAATCAGTCTTCTTTCCCATGTTCTTTGCATCCCCTGGATCTGTTTTCCTGGTGACTTGAATTCTTACTCAAAATAAGAACTTTCTGTGGTAAACCTTCTATATCTTATGTACCTTCGCAGTGACTAACGGGGGATAAGATTTCATGTTCAGTTGTTTCGCTTTTAAGTTTTCTTTCAACAGAGTATTATTTCAGGAGCTTGGTGGAACCAGGAGTCAAGTGGTGGGCTCCTACTAGAAAGGCTTTGCTGTTAGACCCACCAGCCGCGCCCTGGGGAAAACGGGGCTGTCTTTCGCCGTGAAGCTCCACTGCCTTAGAAACCCCACCGGGCAAGGCCCTCCCTCATCACTCAGAGTCGACTTGGCAGCAGTGGGATTTTACAGGGTGTTACTTTAGTCTCGTCCTCTTTGCAGCCAGGATTACTATTGGTAGGTCCAGAATCAGTTGAAGGTTTGTTCCTTTACAGCTACACCATTCTTCTCTGTGGCATCTTTTATCTTCACATGTTCTCGTTGCAATCTCAGGTGTTTGTAGTTGCTGCCCTTGTGTCCACCTGTTTGTGGACAACAGGGCAAAGGGGGCTCTGGGTCAGTCCTGAGGGTTTCCTTCATTCGACTGACTGTTTATCGACGGTACCAAGCAGGATGGACTTGTCTATAGACTGGTCTTTCCTGATGAGGAGCCAAAGTGAGCAAGACTTCTTTTGAAGAAATAAACTATAGATCCCCCGCACTGTGTAAAAAAATTTTTTTTAATGTACAGACTATATTGAAGCATAGCTGAAATTTGAGGACAAAATACAAAATGTTTATATAGTTTTATTTAAATTGTACATACTTTTCTTAAAAACACACAGAAAGATGATTGGAAGGGAACACAATAGGGTGCTAGTGTTTTAGGTTAGTAAGCTTAGAAGTATCTGAATTTCATTTTCATTTTTGTAACATAACATTCATGATTTGAATTGATTTGATCATTTCAGTCTTTTGTTCCTACTCTTCGGCTTTGGGACAGAAAGAGTGTCTCTGCTTCCTTGCAGGTGAAAGAACTGGAGCAGGCTGTGCAGGCCTCTGAAGAGGAGCTGAAGCAGAGCAGGGGCATCATCGCTTCGCAGGAGGCTCAGATCCAGGCGCTTGTAAGTGCTTCCTGTAGCCCCTGTGTTTCAGGACCTTGATGCCTTCCCTCGTAGATGTCCAACTCACTCCAGAACCAGGACCTGAGCCTGACTTGGGTGCTATATAGACGCAGGTGGGCAGCAGTAGACAAAGGAAGTGATGTCCCACTGAAGGTCTGAGTTACCCAGAGAGTTGGAGTGATAACTGTCTCCCACCTTTGGGCTCAGTCCAGTTTTGGGGTTATTAGAGGAGGTAACTCATGAGTCAAACCAACGATTTGGGGCATAGTCTAGGTGCTGGGAAGAGAATGTCAAGGGCTTAGCCAGTTACCAGCTGGAGAAATAAACACAAGTACCATGTATTGCTGGCTTTCACTATACTAAGTGCTTTGCGCATGCTTCCATTTCATCTTTACCGCTGACATCACAGGTATCCACTGTTAACCTCATTCTCAAGGAGTAGGCTCAGAGAAACAGGCTCATTTGGCCGTGGTTTTAAAGCCAGTAACTGCACCCACAGGTTTCTGTGTCAGAGCCCTTCTTCTTTATCTGTGTGTTACATTGCCTTTCCAAGGAGAAGCTTCAGCATAGACGGCAACACCTGAATGAGGTGAAGGGATGGTGCCCAGGACAAGAGGGCCCCTAGTCACCCTGAGGATGAGGGACATGGCACCAAGAGCAGTCCCAGTCTCCACTTGCTGGGTAGGCCGTGGCCCAGAGCGACAGGCAGAGCTTGCAGATAGGGATCTCAGCAACATTCAGAGAAGTGTTGCTTCAATTAGACATCCAACTTGGGGTCACCTAGGAGCAAAGGAAGCCTCCCTCTGAACACCAGTATCTCCGTGAACAGTTGTCCCCGGTATTCCTGCAGTCCAGCGCAAACGAGGAGATCCGATGTGCACAGCAGCAGGCTCTCACTGTGCAGCAGCAGTGCACTGAGCGTGTCTACACCTTGGAAGCCCAGATTGCAGCTTTGGAGGGTGCTCGGGGGGCTGCCGAGACTGCCACAGAGCACAAGACGGTGAGTGAAGAACCAGGAGGGGCCAAGCACAGGAGCCCTCGGTTTGAGCAGAGCTGGGTTTGCCAGGGAAGAGTAGCTTCCTCTCTGAACCAGGAAGTTTAGAGAGTTTACAGAGCTGTTTTTATCTATCCAGTTAGATACCTCCTCAGGAGGCTCAATGATGGTTTGTTTGTTTTTTGTAAAGGCTGCTTCTGTTTGAACATGTGGGTTTCTTTAGACACCCCACCTCCCCCAGGGACTTCCTCAGCTGCATCCTGTCTGAAGTTTGCTTTTTCTCCCTAATGGTTTCTCCCCTCTCGTTCTTGCCTCTGGTCATCTCCCTTCGCTCTCCAACAGTTATAAGACTGTTTCTCCTGATGAGGAATTTGTCAAGTGGTTCTCTCAGACCCCAACTCCATTTTCATCTTACTCCTGCAGTGACCAAAAAATAAATAAAAAGCATTTCAAAAGTAGAAATTCAGAGATCGGATTATGGCCAGCAGAAATATGGTACTTAGGACTTTTATTTATACCTGTGTATGTTCTTCCAAATTTGCAGAGAGCACTGCAGCAAGAAAATAGAGCCCTTTCCCAAAGTAGGGATGAATGTGAACGTTCTTTACAGCATCACCAGCTGGAACTACAGAAGCTGAAGGTATTTGTCTAACTGAAATGCTTGCCTACAAGTGGCCACACCTGTCTTCATCGCCTGCATCTGTGGAGGGGAACTGCTACATGTTAGGTAGTGCTTCCAGGCATTTGCTAGAGATGTTCAATGTCAAGTACTCGCTATGGCTCAGAACATTTTACAATCAGTGTCATTAAAATTCTGAGGGTATACCATTTGTTCAAATTTGCATAGCCAGTGAGAGGTCAAACGGACTGCCCAACTCACAAGGCCACGCTCTTTCGACTCCAGTGCGGATGCCCAGCCCTTCCTGTGGGGCTGCCTGTCCGCCTGTGGAAGGTCATGAGAGCCGTTGTCGGTCTGTATCAGGGACCATGTACAGAAATGAAATAACAGCCTGCTGCTTCAGTTGCTGCCCTTCCTCCTTCTGAGAACTCACCTCGGACGCTGGAGAGGAGGGTGATTCTGCCCATTCCTATAGGCCTCCAGTCTGCCCTGCCCCTTTCTTTGCAGCCCCTGCATGGTGGATCATGTTTGTACTTGTCCAGCTCGGGACTGTGCGGTAATGATACAAAGGTCTTGTGGGCTCCAGATGGTGGTCCCTGGGTGCCATCATGCTGCATTGTCCGTACTGGGCACCATTCTAGGTCTAGGGATCTGAGAAGGAACAAATCAAAGAATGGTTAGCTGTAACTTGACTTCTGCCCACTAGATGTCACTAGCAACCCCAATGGCAACAACCAAAAATGTTCTGGGACATTGCCTGTGTCCCTCTGGGGGCTGGGAACCACTGGGGCCGCTGAATGAATTGTGATGCCATTCACTGGGGTGAAGAGGGTTGAGGTGGAATATCAGGAGTAATTCTAAATGAAACCGCAATGAGATACCACTGCACCCCAAGTTGGATGGCTATGATCAAAAAAAAGTAATAATAAGGAAAACACAGGTGTCAGTGAAGCTGTGGAAAACTGCATGTGGAGTTGATGGTGTAGAGAGGAAGGGAGAGTCCTTGAGGTGAGAGTGGGAAGGGCTAGCCCTAGCTAGAGATGTCATCATGGTCCCATGCCAGCTCTGTGACCATGGGCAAGACCCTACCCTCTGAGATACAGTGTGCCCGTCTCTGAAAGCGAGGACTCCAGTCCTACCTCTGAGGGCGGTGATGGGGCCCGGTTGGTTCCTGTTGGACAGTGAAACAGCACATGCAGTGAACATCTCCGTGCTGTTACAGTGCCTACTTTTGTCTTTGATTTTCTGTTTTATTGATTTCTATTTAAACTTCTACTCCCTTTAGGTTGAATTTGCTTCTCTTTGTCTAGCTTATTAAAACTATGTTTCAATCATTGCTTTCACACCTTCATTTCTTTTTTCTTTTTTTTTAAAAGTTTTATTAGCATCTCATCCACATGTCATGCAATTCAATAATTCAATTATATCAAGAAGAATTGTGCGATTGTCACCATATTCAATTGTACAACATATTCTTTTTGTGTGTGAGTTGTTTTTTTTAATCATTTTATTGGGGGTTCATACAACTCTTATCACAATCTATATATGCATCAATTGTGTAAAGCACATTTGTGCATTCATTGCCCTCATCATTCTCAAAACATTTACTCTCCACTTAGGCCCCTGCCATCAGCTCCTCATTTTCC